GTTAGCACCTCTCTTCTACCCTCCATACATCCACCGACTCTCAAACCTCCATGCAGTATCTCTCTCTCCTCAACCACACTAGCTGTATTAACTGCCACTGAGCCTGGCCTGAGATCTGCTTCACATTGAGAGGATCAAAGCTTGGAGGGGGGAGCTGTAAGACAGTAATGTTTTCCTCAGGGGAGTCCTCTGCCTGGGAAAGTGCAATAGGTTAGAATATCAATGAGACGTGCCCTGGAGCGTAACCGCTCACCTGTTAACTGACTGTGGCTTTGGCACTGTTTCTCTGTGGTCAGGAGGCCATCTTGGCTTCATTTCAACTCTGTCTGTCCTGTGTTTCCCAGCAAACATTTTGATAGTGAATAAATCATGAAGGTAAACAGCACTCAACACTACAGACCTAAGGAACTAATGAGGCCATCTGTCTGTTTCAGTAGCACTGTCTCACGTTAGGGAACACTAATAAACCACACACACTTTTTAATATACTTGAAAATAACAAGAACAGTTAACTATTTTAAACAGTCTTTTAAATTTAAACTGGTTTAAATCATAAAAGCAATAAAAAAAATAAAACTACAAATATTGTCGAATATTCAAGAAATACTCCAAAGAATACATTCATATTTCTGCAAATAATCCTTATTTTTTTATTATCAATTAAACAGTTTCTTATTTTCTTGATAATTCAATGGTTTATTAAATTTCACAAAATAGTGAAAAATGCCTGTTACAATCCTGAAATCCATGAGGACTTCAAATGTCTTATTTAGGCCAAACAGCTGTCCAAAACACAAAGCCTTTTAACTGGTAGTGTACAGTTTACTTTTTGTATATCTGCCACCATACAAGTTGATAGCTAAATGTGTGTGATAATGACCCCATAACGTACTGCTGGGTTCTACTGTTTTGTTTCAGACTACTGAGATTGGATAATGACTACAAGTCCACACAAAATTAAAATCCAAAGCCTCACTATCTGGTTAAATAAAGCAATCACAGCATGTCAGTGTTAGTCATCAACCACATTGCGCTGTACCAACATTAAAATGTTACTTATTGCCCCTTTAAAACCAGATCCAGCTGCCTTTTCTTTTTCTCTTCCTCCTTCTCTATCTGTTTCTCTCTCATCCCCCCCTCCAACATATCAAGTGTCTGGGGAAGAAAAAGGGGAAAAGGAGGCGGAGGAGGGGGTTCAAACAGGTGTCTGCTGCCTGTTGGATACAGGTTTTACTTCATACTCCCAGCTGCTCTCTCATGCACGCACACACACAAACACACACACACCCATACACTCAGGGAGACATATGCATCTCTCTTTCCATGACATCTCAAAATTCCTAAGGATTACTTCTAATTCTTTGGACAGATGGACATACTGTATGTTGGTGGTGGCGGTGTGTGCTCACGCTTGGCACACTACTCACATTGTGGGGACTGGAACATGTTTACACACTCATATGGCGGAAACTTGGCTTTTCTTGTGGGGGCCAGATGTTGGTCCCCACCATGTAAATCACTGAATTTTAGGGTGACTTGGATTAAGGTTAGAGTGAGGTTAGGTTTAGGCTGAGGTTGGATTAATGTGGAAGGTTAGACAAGTAATGCTTTTGCTTAAGGTTATGATAAATCTACAGGAAATTTAAGTCTATATAAATATTCACATTTTTTCAGCTTTCAGAGAGAAATATTGCACTTTTTACTTTACCACATTTTTCTGAAGCTAGTTACTCAGCATATTTGGCAGAATAAGAATTGTGCAAAAACATGCAGCCCTTCAAGTTATACTGTGTGAAAAAAAAAAATCTCTCCACCTTATGAAGCCTGTTTAATCTGGAACAAAGTTTTGCTTTATTTGGATAAAGACACTCTTTCACAACCCTCTTCAGGATAAGCCATATGGATAAATTAATTGACTCTCTTAATAAAAGTGATTACAATTGGGCATACAGCATCTATCTCTGTGTGGATCCTTAAATATTAATAGTAGTCCTATTCTTTAGGACACTTACATGATAAGAAAAAGTCAACATAATTTTGTATGTTTCTGAGAAACCAGAGTAACAGTTAGTGTACTTTAGAGGCCGCAGTGTTCATTACATCTTGGCTCTGATTTTTGTAGATTTGTTGATCAGTTCTATTGTGAAACTGTAATAAAATGATAATAAAACTGTAGTAGCACATATTTCTGAGGGACTGTAACCCAGAGAGCTGCTGCAGACAAAATAACTCACACATACATATATGTATACAGTAGGCATCAACAATTTGCTGCTTGCTACTTGACAATGTTGAGTCACACAGCACCACCTACTGGATTGTGCCTGTAGTGGTGTTGTCAACTCCTACAGTTTATGCCTCCCTTCTCACTTGCGAACATGCAAAACAGGCAATATGACAGCTCCCCACATCGTACAAACAACAGCTGATGGTTCAGTCACAGAGACACAAGTGAAAACAATCACAAGTACAGCAAATTAATGTTTTCTAATTAAATCTAAATTTAGACACTGGATGTGAAACAAGGGCAGCACGGTGGCACGGTGGTTAGCGCTGTTGCCTCACCGCAAGCAGGTTCTGGGTTTGAGC